CACACACACACACACACACACACACACACACACACACACACACACACACACGCACAACTAAATCGTTCGTTTCAACCATTTCTTTTACCAGTCTCGATTCACATGTTCTCCCTCCTTGCCCCCAAAGGTATTACCAGAGACGGTTTACAGTAACGCTGTATTACAGTAAAACTCTGTGGTATCACATTACTGAGGTGACCTTATACCCGACCTGGAGATGACTAAGATGTCGTCTCCTCATAGAAATCGAAACATAAGACGGCGCGTCACTGTTTACAAGGGATTGACAATGATGACTAACTTACTGGGAATCATGCGTACGGCCACTTTCTGTTCCTGATTTTGCAAGCATATTTGGTCGCATTTAAGGACAAGCGGGTTAACCCATGTTTCGGGGGTTTCTAGAAATCTTGACCTACACCAAACGTGGGCATTGCCCTACCTATAGGAGAAGTTTGGTTTCATTGGTGTGTATATTTGTTTGGTTATAGAGAAAACTCTCGTTGTCTTTTAAAGAAATTGAATAAGGGGCAAAAACTTTACCTTCGATTTTCTCAAAACAGCATTTTAGGGTAGCTTCCTTGTGCTTTAAAGCGACCATTTTTTTCTATATTAAGCTGCTGGGCTCGTAGATTATGCTTAACGTGGCTGTATTTTCTCTTTTCTTTTTGTTCAAGCTGGTCACGACGACATTTGGAAACAATCAACTTTCAACCCGCCTTACTGCCTTGTAGAATTCGAGCGGGTGTTCTATTTAGGCCAAGTGCAATTCGATCTGTCATTGTGTCACACTGTTCCAATCAGAGGGTCATAGGAAGCCACCTTTCTACATGTATAGCTAGAGTAGCAGTAACTTTGCTTCTGGTTAAGAGGCCATGGAAAAAACCCTCCAACCCAAACTGACACAATATGTGAAGAGTGCTGACAAAAAGAGATACTTCTCGGATCCATCAAGTCAGATGGAAATAAGATACATCACGCTTGTAGGTGAAGTTTTTGCTATTTATAAGTATGAAATAATAAAAGACAGGGTATACGAAGAATATGGCATCAATAGAAAATATATCAACTTGACCCTAATGTCGATCTTTGACCAATATATCCATTACAATTTGCGGATTGCGAGAAGTAACTAATTTTTGTCAGCACGTCTCACATATTTTGTGTAGCAGATAAACTTTGATAAAGATGTGCTAACGAGGCAGGTAGGAGATAACTGTGTATATGGAATTTTTTAGAAACATGTTCAGTTTAATCAGCTGTCCGCCCACTTCAGATGTCGGCGATTAGCTTCTTTGAATGGCAGTTGAGAGAGAATGAAGGAGGGGTGGAGAGATAGAGAGAGAGAGAGAGAGGTAGATAGATAGACACACTCACACACACACACACACACACACACACACACAGAGAGAGAGAGAGAGAGAGAGGTAGAGAGAGAGGTAAATAGATA